TGTTGGCCATGCCCTGGGATCCCATTCAGCCTTCCTCTGGCCTGCCTGCTGTGCTTTGCGTTGCTCCTTCCTCCTGGTTCATGCCACATCATCCTCGGGTAAGCCCGGAGCTCCCCTCTGGGGGAGTCATTCCTTGACCTCTGCTCCCCTTAAGGGAGTCTCTTCAGTGTGAGCATGTGGTTTCCGGTCACACCCGTGTTCCTGATATTTTCTTTCTCATTCTGCATCATGCTCTTGCACGTGTCTCTCCCTTGGGAGACTGAGCTCTGGGTAGGAACATTTTTTGAAAGATTATTTTATTTGAAAGGCAAATTTATATAGAGAAGACACCACACGCAAGGGCAGAAAGAGAGAGAGAAAAAGAGAGAGAGGGAGAGTGTCTTTTATCCACTGGTTCCAGATGCTTGCAACAGCTGGAGCTGAACTGATCTGCAGCCAGGAGCTTCTTCTGGGTCTCTCACATGGGTGCAGGGTCCCAAGACTTTGGGCCATCCTCTACTGCTTTCCCAGGCCCCAAGCAGTGACCTGGATGGGAAGTAGGGCAGTCAGGATATGGAACAGGGCCCATTTGGGACTCCAGTGCTGCAAGGTGGAGGATTAGCTTGTTGAGCTACTGCTCTATCTCCTGGGTAGGAGCATTCTTGCACACCACGTGTCTGTAGCATGACATGCGTGCTTGACTCCTTGGAGAAATCACAACACTGATATCTTTACAGGAGTAAAAGTGGTGACCTGTGTTTACGTGTTCTTCTTCCATTGCCGAGTGACTGCGGGCTGTGTGGTCTCGTGGGGTCAGTTTCCACTGTCGTGCTCCACGTCAGTGCTTCTCCCTTCCTCAGTGTGAATCTTGCCCTATTGTTCTCCGCCCTTCCTTGCTTCCCTGAACTGACAACGACGCAGGTTACATGTGTGGCTGCCTGTCCCTGCGGTGCCTGTGCAGCTGAGCTAGGCTGGCAGAGGCGCTCTTGCCCGTCCTCACTCCAGACTCCTCAGGCCCCTCCGGGGGTGCTCAGTGCTGCTGCACAGTCAGCCTTCCCTCTGCTAGCTGACTCATTCACATTTTGCTCTAGGCCTTCTTCCTCCACCCTTTCTCCAGGCCGATGCCATTTCTTCTTGGAGAATACTGATTCACTTCAGAAGTTTCCTTTGTTTCTGATGCCACGGGCAGGAAGCCTGGCCTGTCTGGTGCCTGCACTGGCCAGAGCTTAGAGCCTGACCCTCCACTCAAACAGGGCTCCTGTTGAGCTGTGTCCTCCCCCCATCACGCCCCACCAAGTTCTCGTGACCATGCACATTGGGTTACTTTCCCAATTTTTTAAAAGATTAATTTATTTTTATTGGAAAGGCAGATTTACAGAGAAAAGGAGAGACAGAATTATCTTCCATCCAGTAGTTCACTCTCCAAAAGGTGCAATGGCCAGAGCTGATCTGATCTGAAGCTGGGAATCTCTTCAGAGTCTCACGTGGATGCAGGATCCCAAGGCCCTGGGCCATCCTCTACTGCTTTCTCAGGCCACACACAGGGAGCTGGATGGGAAGTGGAGCAACCGGGACATGAACTGGTGCCCATATGGGATCCCGGCACTTGCAGATAGAGGATTAGCCGATTGAGTCATTGTGCCAGTCCCTGGCTTCCCCTCTCCTTAGGTGAAGGGAGAAGTTGCTCCGGTGACTGTTTCTCAGTGGGTGGCAGGTGACCCTGGGATCTGCTCTCTGGAACGCCAGAGAGCAAGCCAGCTCTCACAGATGACCAAGATCGTGTCGGAGGACACTGGCAAAGGGCGCAGTTTGTGGTTACCTGAAACTGCCTTGCGTATGTTTAATCCAAAAGCTCATACCACAGAATAAACCCAGCTTGTTGTGTCTCTGAAGATGTGGAGAAACTGACTGTGGTGTATGCAAGGGGCTGGGGAGGCCAGGGGTATCCCACCTCATTCTGCTGGTCCCTATACCAAATGAGTAACAGCACAGCGATGGAGAAAAGCCTCTCTTTGTAGAAGTTTCTCAGCAATTGCAAAGGGAATATAAGTGAGCCAGAGATCTGGGCATTGATGATCAGCAGCTGCTTACGTCACAAAAGGACAGCCTACAGAAGGAATAACTGCCTCTGGCATGGTTATGTTCGAAATACCAAACTCAGCAAATGTATCCACAAGACAGAAGCACCTGCTGGGCTGTTCCAGCAGCCAGGCCAGGACTGTGGGATGGTAGAGAACATACGTGGGGTCTGCTTCTCCCCAAAGCTGCGAGGAAAAAACAAACCAAACCCAAGGCACTGGCTAGCTTAGAAGAATGTAAGACACTCTACATGCTCCTCTTTAAAGAAGCAAAGCTCCCTCAGCCGGGCTGTGATGTTTGGGGCTGAACACCTGTGTGGTGAGCCTGCAGGGATTGGGAAGGGTGTGCTTACAGAGAAATCTTCCGTCTTCTGGTTCATTCCCCAACTGGCCTCAGCCAGAACTGGGTGAGTCTGAAGCTGGGAGCCAGAAGCTTCATCCAGGTCTCCCACGTGGTTGCAGGGGTGCAAGCACGTGGACTATCCTCTGCTGCTTTCCCAAGCACATTAGCAGGGAGCTGGATTGGAAGTGAAGCAGCTGGAACTTGAACTGGTACCGATATGGGATGCTAGTGCTGGGAAAGGTGGCTTTACCCACTATGCCGTGGCACTGGTCCATCCCTTTAGACTTTTACCCACCTCACCTTGTCAGTGAGGCCTTCTCTATCTGCCTGATGTTCAACTTCTCTTTTCTCCTTTACTTCCTATCATTTGTTGTGTCTTTGCTACTTCATTCCTCTCCCACCCTGTTTAACCTGTTTTACCAGCACATATACTGATATTTTGCTTTCAGAAGGTCAACTTACTGCCTGTTCTGATTGTGAGACGGATGGAGTGGGCTTTGTCCCATGGCTGATGGCAGCCGCTCATGTATCGGTAGAGATGATGAATTGGATGTTCCAGGAGAATGGCCACGTACATTAGATCCTGTTGGACTTGTGGAACACCTGGCAGGTGAAATAGCCCCTGGCATCCCTGAGGCAGGCATTAGGGAAGGTAAAGTGGACGCAGAGGTGATGGTAAGATGCACAAGCACTCCAGTCTCGTCAGCCAGGTGCTCTGTGAACTGTTAGGAAATGCAGAGCTGAAGTGCTAAGTCAGGTTAGAAAATCTCTTATTATCAGAAGACCTGAAAACTATTGAATTCTGCTTTCTGGGGAACACACTGTCAGGTGGTGAATGGTCCAGTGGAAGGTCCAGGCCCGTGCATTCGAGCAGCTTGAATTTTCATCACCCTGGCAACTGTAACTGGCAAGATGCATTACACACGGGGGTGCGTTAGTAGTGGGTACAGGCTACCACTGACATGGCACGAATAGTCGGGAGTCCTGTGGGGAACCCCCGTGACAATTATAAATTGAAGAAGCACGCAGAAGATTTTGTGCGGTGGTTGTGCATCTCAGAATTTCTGGGGTCCACACTAGAGGCGGTGATGCATGATGGTGTTGCTGCCGTGTAGGTGAGGTGTCTCAGTGCACACCATTGACAGGTGCTTCACCCAGACGTAATAACTTCTGCTCAGTCTCTTTTCACCCACATTGGTTCGAAAGAATTAGGCCTTCTAGCTCCCACCCATAGCCTGTCCAACTGATTGAGAAAGCTAAATTGCCTTGATAAGTAGAAACATAACATTAAACATGATCTAGCAACTTAACTGATATTTTAAAATAATTCCCCCCCTTATTTTTCCCCCAAATACTTGGAAATGTGTGTTATGAAAACCCCATGCATGGATTTCAAAACAAATTTTCTGTGCTAAAATAAGCTCATGTTTCATTTTTCCACAAACTGAAGTGGCCTTGTATACATATTATATAAACAGATACTGAGTGCTTTAAAAACAGGGATTTCTTACTAGTTAAAAAATCCCTGGGTCCAACATGAAGACTCAGTGGCTGAGATCTTCTCCTTGCAAGCACTGGCATCCTGTATGGGCCCAGGTTCATGTCCCGGCAGCTCCACTTCCCGTCCAGCTCCCTGCTTGCGGCCTGGGAAGGCAGTGGAGGGTGGCTCAAGGCCTTGGGACCCTGCACCCGCGTGGGAGATGCTGAGGAGGCTCCTGGCTCCTGGCTTTGGAAGGTGTTTTCTGTCTCCTCTCTGTAAATCTGATCTGCCTTTCCAATTAAAATAATTACATTTAAAAAAATAATAATAATAATAAATGAAACATTTCTTTTCAGATTTCTTTGAGCGACGGACACATGGCAGAAAGCAAGATCCCATCCACTTTTTCACTCCCAAAATGCCTACAGGGGCCTGGGCTGGGCTGGGCTGAAGCTAGTTGGCAGGAGCCTAATATGTGGTCATCTCTGCTGCCTCTTAGGGCCTGAATTAGCAGGAGGCAGGAATTAGGGGCTGCCTTCAGCTCTTCTGAATTCTGCAAGCAGAGGAGTCTGTAGCCAGAGCCAGGAATTGAACCTAGGCACTGTTTTAACTGTTGGGCTAAGTGCATCTTTCTCGTGGTAGCCTGTCTGTCTCTTTGGTGATGTCTTTTTTTAGACTTCATCAAAACAGCTTTTTGCTGTCTGCTCCTACATCTTCATTCTTGGATTCTATTCCCGCCCCCGTTCCCCCCCCCCCACGCCCAAGATCTACCGACATGAGGATGGCAGCTTAATGTGTGAAGATGTGTTGCGAGAGATGCCCACCTTGGGCAGATGAGCTGTGCTTGCAGAGCTCAGGAGTGCCAGCCCCTTCCCTGGGTGACTGCACTTTACAGGCACAGCTGCAGCGTATGGCAGGTGTATCCGAGAGGCCCGTGCCTGAAGGCTCACTTTGTGCACACAGCCAGTGATGGAGATGCTCCTGGCATTGTGCTCATCTTTGGCAGCAGTTCGCAAACGCGTAGGAGCCCAGCAGGCGAGCGAGCGTTAGCTCTGCCCTGTGCTTCACTGTTGAATTGTGCTGACTTGCGCATTGCCTTCTCTTTAATCCCACCTTGTAGGTGCTCAAGTGACTATCACAGATCGAAAAGTAGCCTTAGAGTTTCTGAAGGCAAACGTTGAAGCCAACTTACCTCCCCACGTCCAGCCCAAGGCTGTTGTGAAGGAGCTGACTTGGGGACAGAACTTGGCGAGTTTTTCGCCTGGAGAGTTCGACCTGATACTTGGAGCCGACATCATCTACTTAGAAGAAACATTCACAGACCTTCTTCAAACCCTGGACCACCTCTGCAGTGAGCGCAGCGTGATCCTGCTCGCCTGCCGGATTCGCTACGAACGTGACAGCCGCTTCTTAGCGATGCTGCAACGGCAGTTTTCTGTGAGTCAGGTTCACTATGATCCTGAAAAAGACGTTCATATTTACAAAGCACAGAAGAGCAGCCAGAAGGAGGAGTTATAGTTGGTTGCAACTTGCAAGCGTAGCAGCATTGTGAATGTCCACCAAAGGCCCACCCTGGAATTGCAGCCATAACCTGGGACCACCTTGTACGGAAAGGTTAGAAGATTGAAAGCCACGCAGCGCCTCATCCCACCATGATGTCTTCTCATAGTTCATGCCCTCGGAACCTTCGTGAACATTAAAGGAGAGGATGAGCCTTTGTATTCTGTGGTTTCTGTATCCGGGGCTTCTCCCTCTTGTCAGTTTCACTGTTGACATCATGACAGTCTGCTCCAGAAATTTTTAGAACTTGCTTTGGTGAGGACAAGTCTGGTCAGTTGTAAACATTCTAAGAAATAGAGGATTTAGTCCAGATTTTGAATTCTCTGAAAAGAAGAGTTTTTTTTTTTAATGAAAGATTTATTTATTTTTATTGCAAACTCAGATATAAAGAGAGGAGGAGAGACAGAGAGGAAGATCTTCCGTCTGATGATTCACTCCCCAAGTAAGCGCAGCGGCCGGTGCTGTGCTGATTCGGAGCCAGGAGCCAGGAACTTCCTCCAGGTCTTCCATATGGGTGCAGAGTACCAAAGCATTGGGCAGTCCTCGCCTGCTTTCCCAGGCCACAAGCAGGGAGCTGGATGGGAAGTAGAGCTGCCGGGATTAGAACCGGCGCCTATATGGGATCCTGGAGCGTTCAAGGCGAGGACTTTAGCTGCTAGGCCACCGTGCCTGGCCCGACTCTGGGTTTTGGAGTGATGGTGCAGGTCAGGTTTCCTGGGGATACACTGAGTGGAGTGCTTTCCAGGACCCTCTCCCACTCTCGGGGAGCGGAAGAGGCAGGGGTGGGAAGGAGGGCGAGTTGGCTGCCGTGTCTCCAGGGAAGCCTCAGTTATTCAGAGCGAGATCCGTCAGTACGTGCAAGGGCACGGCGCTGAGTAGTGACCAAGGCCCAGTTGAGAACTGGCCTTCGTCAAGCCGGAAGCTCTGGGACGGCAGTGCCTCAGGGTCACAGTGCAAGTGGGCGAGAGACAAAAGGAAAAGAGAATGAAAACCTGGGCAGCATGTCAATTCTACTACCAAATGGGAGTAAAACTGGCATTTTGGGCCAAACATGGTGGCTCAATGGCTAAATCCTCACCTCACAAGGGCCGGGATCCCATATGGGTGCCGTTTCGTGTCCTGGCTGCTCCCATCCAGGTTGCCGTTTGTGGCCTGGGAAAACAGTAGAGGATGACCCAAAGCCTTGGGACCCTGCACCCCTGTGGGAGACCCGGAAGAGGCTCCTGGCTCCTGGCTTTGGATTGGTTCAACTCTGACCATTGTGGCCATTTGAAGAGTACAATGGAAGATTTTCTCTGTCTCTCCTTCGCTCCCTAAATATGATCTGCTTTTCCAATAAAATAAGTAAATTAAAAAAAAAGATTTTTTTTTGCATAAGTAAAAGCTGGTATTGTTTTGGGGTTAGCGTTGTGGTGTAGTGGGTAGAATGGCTGCCTGTGACACTGGCATATCATGTGGGCACCCGTTCCAGTTCCAGCTGCTCCGTTTGTATTCCAGTTCGCTGTGAATGTCCCTGCAAAAGCAGCAAAAGATTTTCCAAGATCTCGGGTCCCTGTCACCCTTGTGGGAGAGCCAGAAGAAGCCTCTGGCTTCTGACTTTCGTCTGACCTGTCCCCAGCTTTTGCAGCCATCTGGGGGAGTAAACAAGAAGATAGAAAATTTCTCTCTCCTCTGTAGCTCTATATTTCAAATAAGTCATTAAAAAGTTAAAATATTATTCTACCCTGTAAATGTACATTTTACCTTTCTGTGCTGCTTTTCTCTTCCAGCTTGGTATAGAGATCTAGTTGAAATCTACTAAAACGTGACTCGCATTGCTTGGTTTCTTTGAAGTTGTGTAGTGAACTGCTCAGTATCAGTAGCCCCACCATACTTGTACCCCAAACTGATATAAAGTACTACTATGAAAATAATGTTTATTTTTTTAAGATTTATTTATTTTGATTGGAAAGGCAGATATACAGAGAGAAGGAGGGACAGAGAGAAAGAAGTTCCATCCACTGGTTCACTCCTCAAGTGGTCGCAATACCTGGAGCAGAGAGGATCTGAAGGCAGGAGCCAGGAGCCTCTTCCGGGTCTCCCAATGGATGCAGGGTCCCAAGGCTTTGGGGTGTCCTCGACTGCTTTCCCAGGCCACAAGCAGGGAGCAGTCGAGGTTAGAACTGGCACCCATAAGTTATTTCAGAGCATTCAAGGCAAGAACTTTAGCTACTAGGCTACTACACTGGGTCCCCAAAATCTTATTTTGAGAATATATGTGCACAGTTCAAAAAGTTCCTGGAAAGTAGAATTAAGAGATACATTTATTTTAATGCAAGAATTTGGAAATGCATCTTTTAATAACATGCATCTAATGTGCATTTTTGTGAACTTTTGCATCAAGATAAACATGTTTTGAAAAAAAATTTTTTAGATTTATTATTTACTTTTATTGCAAAGTCATATATATATAGAGAGAGAGGTGGAGAGACAGAGAGAAATATCTTCTGTCCGACGATTCACTCCCCACGCAACCTCAATGGCCAGTGCTGCGCCAATCTGAAGTGAGGAGCCAGATCTTCTTCTGGGTCTCCCATGCAGGTGCAGGGTCCCAAGGCTTTGGGCTGTCCTCGCCTGCTTTCCCAGGCCACAAGCAGGGAGCTGGATGGAAAGTGGAGCAGCCGGGATTAGAACCAGTGCCCATATGGGATCCTGGCGTGCTCAAGGCAAGGACCTCAGCTGCTAGGCCACTGCGCCAGGCCCTGAAAAAAGGTTTTAGGATTTATTTTCATTTAGGCCTTGGCATGGTAACCTAGTGCCAGAAATCCTCACTTTCTATGTGCTGGGATCCCAAATGGGCGCTGGCTTATGGCCTGGCAAAAAGCAGTGGAGGACCGTCCAACACCTTGGGATCCTGCATGCACCTGTGTGGGAGACCCAGAAAACACTCTTGGCTCCCGGCTTCGGATCAGCTCAGCTCTTGCGGCCACTTGGGGAGTGAATCAACAGATGGAAGATCTTCTTTTCTTTCCTCCTCTCTGTATATCTGCCTTCCCAATAAAAACAAATCTTATTTTAAAAAATCTAAAACAACAGATTTATTTCCATTTGAAAGGCAGATGATACCGAGAGAGAAGAGACAAGGAGAGGCCGTCCACCTGCTGGCTCATCTGGCCCCGCACTGACATCAGCAACTGAGGAAGCACAGTCTCAGTACTTGCACTCCAGGGCTGGACCACATGTGTTGTGATTTTTCCTGTGTCCAGGGTTTGAGTCCAGTTATCTCGTTGTGGAGTCTTCCAAGAAACCTTGCCTGGGGACCCAGTGCAGTGACTAAGTGGTTAAATCCTTATTCTGCATTGCTGCGATGCCATATGGGTGCTGGTTTGTGTTCCAGCTGTTCCACTTCCCATCCAGCTACCTGCTTGTGGCCTGGGAAAGCAGTCGAGGATGACTCAAAGCCTTGGGACCGTGCACCCACGTGGGACACCTGGAAAAGGCTCCTGGCTCCTGCCTTCAGATCCACTGTGCTCCAGGTGTTGCAGCCACTTGGGAGTGAACGAGTGGATGGGCCTTTCTTTCTCTATGAATCTATAAATTTGCCTTTCCAATAAAAATAAATCTTAAAACAAAACAAAAAATGCCCGGGATGACCTCAGAGTTGACTCATGGTGCTAGCCAGTGCAGGGTCAGGTTTGGGCCATCATTTGCAGCAGCCAACATACATACCAGTAGATGTGGCTGCCTGGTCTGTTCTGCCCCGTTGCATCACTTCATGCAGATTAATGGGTGTTATGGCCTAGCCTAGGCAAGCTCACCACAGGCCTGCTCCTCACCACAACAGTGCGTGCTGCAGCCTATTTGGGGTGATCCCAATGACCCCCACAAAGCCCACCCCATCCCCGGTTTTTGCATATGCTCTGTTTTAGCCCAGTCAGTCCTGCGTCCCTTCTGGTTCTTGTGCACACCCATGGGTGTGGTGGCTTAGCTCAGCCTGACCTGGCCCACATTCATGCAGATGGGTGCTATGTCTTGCCCCACTCAGTGTGTCATCAGCCCTTGTTTTTGTGCTCACCATTGGGAGCTTCAGCCCAATACAGGAGTGCTCACACTTTCCTTACTAGGTGTGTACCCAGCATGGCGTCTTGTGCTTACCAGTGGGTACTAATGTCTAGCCTGACATGACTTGCACCCAGTCCTGGCACTTGCTGATTGGGTGCCCTGGCCTAGCCTGGACAGCCTACAGTCATCCTGGATCTTGCGCATTCCAACAGGTGTGGAACCTTGCTCAACCTGGCCTTCCCCCAGAGTGGCCTGCCCCACCCCCAGCTCTCACACTTAGCAATTGAAACAGTGGCCCAGTCTGAGACAGCCCATCCCCAGTCTTGGCATTTGGCAGCAGGTGCTACAGCCTGGTTTAGCCTAATGCACCCAAAGTCCCAGTTCTCACTGCTGCATGTAATAGCCAAACCCAGCTTGGCCCATTACCAGTCCTCCTGTGTACTGTAAGTATTGCTGTCCAACCTGGCCTGGCATGCACCCTGTCTTGACTCTCTGTCATGCCTCTGGACTGGTCCAGCCATGCCCACCCCCAGACTCAGCTCAAACATATACTGACAGGTGCCACAGCCCAGCCAGAGCTCTTGTGCTCACCAGAGGGAGCTGCAGCATAGTAACAGAGTTCCTCAAGTCCCTCTACTAGGCCGCTTTCAGTCCTGGATCTTTCATGTGCCAGTGGGTGCTGTGTGGCCTAGCCTGATATGGCTGGCCCCCAAGTCCTGGCATTCTCCAGCAGGTATTGATGTCTAGGCTTACTGGCACCCATTCTGGCTCTCATTGGTGGGGGGGCTCCAGCCTAGCCCCACCTGGCCCACTTCTTAGCCTGCTCATGTATGAACTCTTAGGTGCCTTGGTCTAGCCTGGCCTTTCCTATACCCATTCTGGCACTCAGGAGCACCAGCAGGTACTGGAGCCTAGCCTGATTTGGCTCACTTCCAAACCCAGTGCCTTGGTCAGCCTGGTCTATTCATAGCTCCAGCTCTCACACTGGTCAGTAGAAACTGAAGCGCAGCAGGAGAGCCCTCGAAATTCACCAACCAGGCCTGGTCCTTGGTGCTTCAACCCAGCCTACATGGCCCACCCACAGTCTCAGTTCTTACCAGAGAGTATTTATGCCTAGCCCACCCAGATGTGGCCTACACCCTGTCCTGACTGTTGTGTGTGCTAATGTGTGCGTCAGCTTGGCCCAGTATGGCCTGCTCCCAGACCTGCCCCACACAGGTGAGTTCTGTGGTCCAGCTGGTTTGGCCTATCACCATCTGTAGTTCTCTATATAAACCAGCAGGTGCTGCAATTCCACAGAGGTGGACCCACAAGTTCCCTATGGAATCTGCCAACAGATTCAGATGCTGTGGCCCAGCCTGACATGGTCCACACTCTGCTCTGACATTCGCAGCTGGTTGTTATGGCCCACCTGAGCTGGGGGGGGGGGGAAGACCCCCTAGTCCCAGCTTTTGTGTGCACCAGCAGACAGCAGGTGATGCTATTCAGCCCAGCCAGGTCCTACATGGACAGGTGCCCTTTGGATTCCCTCCCTCTAAACCATTCTCTCAGCTCCCTTGCATATCTGAGAGTGCAGTGGCCAGATGTGAGAAGCCACCAGAAGCCATTCCTCCTGTCAACATGCCTCAGCCATTCCCACTTAAGTATGCCCCCAACCCCTCTTCCCTGGGCAGTCTGCAGGCCCCTTCTGGGGGATGGGGTGGTGTGACCTAGCCCAGCATTCCCCACCTTCCCCACATACCTTTAACAAAAAGAAAAGTAGAACAGAATAGGCAGTTACGCCAGCACACTGGTGTAGTTATTACAAATGTGGCATTAACCTGGCCTAGAATGCCTGCCAACTATTCGTTGCTTTTCTCCCAGCAGTGTTATCATGTCCTCTGAGCATTCACACCGAATGTGGAATCTGGGCTGTCCTCCACTCTGGGTTGTACTTTAAAATCTGAGGATTTGACTGTTGACTCCAAGCTTCTTTCTGTAACTAGGGAATGGTTACAATGTAATATTACTGAGAAAGATGGCATACTAAGACACTGTCTTTGCTAACAAGTTATTCTGAGGTGAGAAAGGACAGCTAGATGAGGAAAGGAAAGCCATATACCTGAAGAGCTGGTGTAAGATTGTCTTGTCGCTTCCTAAAAACTCCAGAGCACACATTGTAAAGTTTGAAGAAAAATACTATCAATGTGATAAATGATTCCTTCCCAGCATCTTTTCCAAACATATGCTAGCTCATATTTATCTATACTAACTCATGTAACAGCTCAGTTTTAGAGCACTGGAGTTCACAAGGGGGCCCTGGCTAAATGACTCGTAATGTATTGTTACAAGGGGAAGTTTCCAAGCTGGTTTGCGTAGGGGGAGAGAAGACGCATTGCATTTATGTTAATTAATAGACTATCCTTAAACAATAACCTTTCCCTCACTGTTTGCTTTTTTTTTTTTTTTACTGTTTAAAGTATATGTGGTAGTTAAAAACTATAGTAAAATATTATTAAAAAAGTGAAAACTTAAGAATGGGAGAAGATATAAATAATAAGGGTCCAGTACACAGACTGTAAAGATCCTTTACAATCCAATAACAGAATAATTCAATTTAAAAAATAAGCAGGGCCCAGCACAGTAGCCTGGTGGCTAAATCTTTACCTTGTATCTGCCAGGGCCCCCTATGGGTGCCGGTTCCTATCCCAGCTGCTCCACTTCCCAACCAAATCCCTGTTTGTTGCCTGGGAAAGCAGTCGAGGATGGTTCAAGGCCTTGGGACGCTGTACTTGTGTGGGAGACCCGGAAGAAACTCCAGGCTCCTGATCACCTCAGCTCTGGCTGTTGTGGCCACCTGAGGAGTGAACCAGTGGATGAAGATTTTTCTATCTCCATTTTTCTCTACACTGGCCTTTCCAATAAACCTTATGAGCAAAGGGCTTAAGCAGACTTATTTCCAAAGAATACACACAATGACGAACACATACAGGAAATATGTTCAAAGTATTAGCCAAATGTCAGTCAAAGCTACAAGATATCACTTTATGCCCATGAGAATGGCTATGGGTAAAAAGCGGCAGTGTTGGAGAATAAGGCAAATTGGTACCTTTGAACATCCATAGTGTGGTTTCCCAGAAAGTTATCCAGAAGTAACTATCACAACTCCAAATAGGGAACAGACTCAAATGAATACTTGAACATGAATATTTGTAGCAACACAAGTCATAACACCCCAAAGTAGACGCAACACAGAGGACCACTGGCACATGTCCCAGTCAAGTACGTGTGCAGGTCTTATAATTAATGCACTGTTGGCAGTCAGCTATGAAGAGTGAATAGTGACACATGTTCCCAGCATGGATAAATCTTAGGGAAAAGAAAGTGAAGTCAGGAAAGTGGTACACAAACCCTGACACTTTAGAACAACGCACTGGTGGCTCTGAGTGGAGGTAGGAGACGGACAGTACTGTTGAATTGGTACAGGGTTTTACTGGGAGTGAAAATTAATAAAGGGGATGTGGTGACTATACAACACCAAATACACCAAACAACACTAAGTAACTTTAAAAGGTTAATTTTATTAACGGTACCTCAATTAAAAAGCAAAAGCACAAATATTACTGACTCCCAGAAACTACCTTTGCCCTCGAGATGAGGCTCTCATTAGAATTCTTAGCCTATTTGCTTAGTGTGAAGATGTGGAGACATGAAAGAATGCAATGAATAAGTACTGACTGAGGCGTTGAGTTTCCTTTGAGTAACTGATGAGGCAGTGGCACTGTCTGGGATGCATAAGCCAGCTGATGGGAGAGTGCATTTCACAGACCTGTGATCACAATCTGAGTGGTAATAATGTCTAAATCTAGAATTTAGCCGCAGTCAGGGCAATACTTGTGTAAAAATGCAGCATCTTGATAAAATTTATTTTAATGGGAAGTCATAGAGATGTTTTGTATGTTGGCTGACTTTGCAAACATTGGTCAATAGCGTGGGCTGGATCCGGCTAAAGCCAGGATTCTGGAAGTCAATTTTCATCTCCTATGTGGGTGGCAGAGACCAAAGTAGTTGAGCCATCCTCTGCTGCCTCCCAGGGTACAAATTAGCAGGAAGCTGGAATTGGAAGCAGAGCTGCGGTTCAACCCAGACACTGACAGTGACTTTATTACATTGAGCTGTTGTGCCAAATGCCTGCTCCGGAAAGGGACGTCATTTTTAGTCCTCACAAATTTGTCAAATGACACAGAAGACACACTGTACTTCTGCTGGAGATCCAAGCATCTTAACATGCCTACAGTGCGGTAAGCAGTTACTAAATACTCTCAGCCTGATCCTGGCTTATTCCTGTTGTCTCCATGCATGTAATTTGTGTCAGCCCTTCAATGAATCTCAAATATTTGCAGTAAGACCACTCTTTGTAGAAGGAAGAAAAATGAAATTAATGCGATTCTTTCAACACAGCGGTTGGTATAGCAGATTTAATAAACTTGGCAATAAGAAAACATAGCAGTTAGGGATAAACAACTGCTTACATTTAGAACTTATTTCATAAATCCAATACTATAGGTGGGGATCATCTTTGATTCCTGTAACTTAAGCAGAGTAACCACACACCCTGTTTCTCCCTTGTTTTATGACATCTTGGAATTTCAGAATTCTAAGGAAACCTAAGGCATGTTCTTATTGTTCAATGCAAAATTCATTCTATGCAGAGATAGCTGGTAATATGTCTCCACTAGTTATCTCAATAGGGAAGTATCTCCAACTCCTCAAATGGGCACTGTTGAATCTTACTGCAAAAGAAGTCTTAGGCTAAAAAGCAGGAATGCAGCAAAAATCAAATAGCTGAAGATGGGTTCCTGTTGAAGTACAGTTCTGTTGCTGTACACGCACAAAATAAGCTCATGATACACCGCAGCATATTTTCTGAACATTTAACAAAATGAATAAACCTAAGTCTAAGAAAATGACTTAATACAAAGGAAAAACTAAAATACAAAGAGATTCCCCTTCCCAAAAAAAGAGACTTACAGAGTTTTAAAAAGCATGTTTATGTGACTGCACATAAATGTTTGTGTAAAAAGGGCATTATGACAGTTGAAACCACAAAGATTACAGTAAGAAAAAGCACTTTATGACAATATTTCACAAATTCACAAGGATCACTGTAATATACAAAGCAACTGCTACCATTCTGAACACAAAGCAGCTAATATGTACATAGTGTTAATAAAATGCATTGTAATTCAGTACATTTTTTCTTTACACATAAAGCACAAGATTTAGGTTAAAAAAAACCACAGGGATATTTCTAGTATAGGGAATTTTATTAGAAATGCATTCCCCTCACTATAGTTATGTATTTAGTATTCAACTCCAATAGAAACATTGGCGTTCAAAAAAAATCAATACCCTGTTTTGTGCTGATAGTTTAGGGGGAGGTACTCTTTGCCCCAATCCTTAACAAAACAAAAATATCCTCAAAGCAGATACACCTTTCTAGGAACTTCCCTGATTATTTTGTGGTGCATCTGGGTTAGAACACATTTCTTCTGCAGGCATGGTTTTTTTGGGGGCGGGGTAACAACTGACATATGGACAAATCCATCACCGACAACTTTACTTGGAAAACCGCTTAACAAGCACTCTTCTTTGCCATCCCTAACACATACAGTAAAATGTTGACAGATCATTTCCCATTTTAATAAAATTTATTACATAAACTGGGATTGGCACTTGGATAAAAATGCCTATAAAGCATTAACCAGTTGTGTTTTAAACATAAGAAAATAAAACCTCCCAAACACAATGATAGGACATTTTCCTTGCCAACCAACATTAAAATCATTATCTGCAGGGATTTTTCTTCCTTCCCTACTAAGTTTTAAACAATCGCATTTACTCACATCTCTGACAGGCTCCTCAGAACTTGGAAATGCTGTATTTCTATAGGCAAGTATTAAATAATGCCAGTGTAAAGTAGGTGAAATTCCAATTCTCTATTATTTGACCCTTTTCAAAGACATTTCCTAAAGACTGTTCATTTTTTTCCCTTGCTGGTGAGAATAGTTAAAATGTTCTCTTGTTATACTCAGTTGAGACCTGGGTTCATCAAAACAGAATTCTGCAGACAGGTCAATATTTTCTCTGTGCTAAACAACTCTGCCTGTTTATATCAACTTGCTACACAGGCTTTATTCTACTGTTTTTTTAAAATTATTTTTATTTTTTTAAAAAATAAATTTCAAGCTAAAACACCTGAAATATAATCCCTCCATTCAAACATTATCTGGTCCCTCTTAAAGTCTGCCTGCCCCCTGAGGACCCATACAAAGGCTTAAGCTACATTCACTAATCAGTAAGAACTTATCATAGCAAATGAGACAGATGGAACTTCAGCACCCTGTTTGATTTGTTTGAAATTCTTCCATACTGACTCAGCTTCATGATAAATTCAACCCCTCATGGATGAATGCCTCTCTTGGCCATTGATTCTAGAAAGTGAAGGAAACCAGTTCCTAGCACATCTAGTGACTATGCAGTCAACTTAAAAAGGTTAACATTAAAAGTCTTTAAAATGTATATGAACCATCCAACAAATTATCTGGTTGTGCTTTGTACAACTGAGTGAACAAATTTATCTCACAACTCACAACAATTTATCTACAGGTTTACTAACCACTTTCACTTCCCCCGCTTCACCAGAAATTACTAAGAAAATTTAGGCATTCCAAATGAAAATAATTTAGTAGATGACTTCTAATGTGGTCTTCCTGAAACAATTAGTTGATTTACAAATCCTTTACTACGTTGGACAAATAATGGATACTTTGACATACTACTGACAGTGTTAATGCTGGGGTGAAGGTATATTATCATTTAAAATTGAAGGTTAAATATTAATTTCTTGCATTTTTCCTTCAATCTTTATTCATGACGAAACAGAGTAACATGTTTTCCTTTATAATTTTTTAAGGCTAGCTTTTAAAATGCTAAATATTTTAATCAACAAAAAGTTTCCATTTTTGAAGAGGTGAAAGACCAGAGTCGACTGCTAATCATCTGATAGTTTCTTAAGCTGCTAATACCCAAACTGGGCAGTTTGCAAAAGTGCAAGTTACATCAAACATTTACAAAGAACACAATGCAAATATAATTCAAATAAATATACAACTTTTGTATTAGGTCAATGGGAAACAAATACCAACAGTTTTCAGGGCTACAAAAGGCAGCGAAACAGAAAAAGCCTCTTTAAAGTAACTGAAAAGGCATGCAGCCACTGCTTCTGAAACCCACTGTAATTCAAAATCTCAACTTTCAGATATATTAGCTTTATTTAAATCTGCAAAATGAAGCAGCTTTTGATCTTCGAAATAAACACAATTTACATGACTATAGCTGTGACCAGAGTTGAAAACTTTCTAAATATGAAAAGAAATCTAGATTGAAGTTGTTTCAAGTGAAAACATCCTGGTTTATACATATTTGCATTCTTCCTAAGCCTTTGTATGACCCCACGTCACCAATAGTCAAACCCTGTATGGAGCAGAACCGACACCACCGCAGCTGGATGACTTGGGACTGGGCAGCCCGACAGGGCGGTGTTGTGCTTCCAGATAGCACTGCTGCTGACCCACCATCCAAACACGCTTTCTGACAAAATCCCTGCTCAAATAAAACACCATAATTCCTCCCCCAGGATGATTTTTTGAAAAGAATCAATGGTTCCTTAAAACAAAACAAAACAAAACTGTTTTCAAAATGTTTTTTATCACTGTTATAGCTGCCAGAGACAAAGCATGAAAATGAAATACTTTCTTTTTGGTGTGGGGTTGGGGAGGGGGCCTCAAGTGGATAACAACCTGCTCTGAAGCATCAAGCCAAAGAAAATAAAACACTTGGAAGAAAATTCGAAGATAAAAAAACCAATCATGAGTGCTGGAATAATGCAGTCATAGAAACTATCAGAAGGGATGCAATAGAATACACAAAAATGTAAAATTTCATCTGACCTCAATATACTATAATACTCCGCATTCCTGACTTAAGAGCTCTCAGAGCTTTAGATTATATACTGTATGTATGTATATATATATGTATATATATTTACATTTATTTTACAAATGCCATTTCCCCACCCTCTTCCCCAAGAATATCTAAATGATGAACAGAGCACCTAATGACATTATGGTTGCCAATATGGTACTTGAGTTTGAAAAAGAATGAACTTAAAAAATTGTATATGACATTTTAAAAATGTGAACACATTGAATCTAGCCCTTTCTAAACCACTTTTCAGTTTAACACTATCAAAGCTTGAAAACTTCAGAAGAGTAATATATCAAAAATAAACCCCTCCCTATTTCACTTTTATTAGAGTTAATCTGTCCTATAGATAAAAGTGCCATACGGCCCTATATTTGCGAAGTGAGCACTACCAAACTTGCTATTTTCTAGGCAAATCAGTAGCATATATACAGATTCCTATGATGGCATTTTCATTCCCTTTTGGCCAATATGAAGAGAGAAACATGGCCACGTATGTTCTTGGCTACAAGATTTTTTTTTTTTAATTATGTCATTTTCTTAGTAAAGATTCTCAAAATTTCAAGCTTAAAAACACGCCCCCTTCCTTGTATTTAAAAAAAAAAAAAGCTTGCACAAAAAGAGCCTTGATTTCTGTCTGTGTACACGGAAATTTTCAAGTCTCTCCAAGGGTCTATAACATGTTTAGCAAAAGAATACGTTTCACTTCTTATCTTACCAGTAAGTCACAACTTCAAATCAGTGTAGCCACCCTCCAGGACCTGGTCTTTCCTAATATGGATGTAATTGCCTTGATTGGTCAGGGACCCAGAGGACCACCAAGTTCCTAATTGAGCAGAAATCCTCAACTTCTGAAAAGCAGGTAACTTTCAAGAATACAATTTGTGAGATCCCAGGCGATTTTTCATTGATAATGCTTATATCATTCAAAATGATCAATTTGACTTCTCAACTCAATTAAGAAATCCAGTCTGTGAACAGATCTGTGTTTCTGCTTAGTTTCTGTAACACCGGGTTTAGAAAATCACATATCTATGTTGCTTTACAATTTTTACGCTATAACTTTCGCCTTTAGCTCAGCAGGACAAACATCAAACTTTAGTTGTTTGAAAGCCTTCTTGAGAATCTGGTGAATTTTCCAAATAAAAGATTACATCACTCAATTCTTAGAATGATGCTCCTTCATAAATTTTGTTCATCCTTGAAAAAAGACAATGGTTTGTTACAAACAACAGTACACCATTTACACACATAAAAAAATTATAATGGATCCAATAAGTATCACTTGTATTTGCTTTTGTTAAAAAAAAAAAAGAAAACCTTCTTAAATAACCCATGACTAAACAGAAAACATAATTTTGTAACTTTTAAAAAAAAGTAATTTCCTTCTCAAATGAGAAATTATAATCTAACATTAATTACATCAGGCTCCAATCTTTAAAATGTTAATGACTACATTTACCAGTCTTATAAATGAGTAATTAGTAGTTAACAGTGATACTGAAAATAAAGTATGACACACAGAGACTGTAACAGTCAGGAGTTCAAACAGGAGACCCCTTTGTAAAACAACAAAGGCTAGACAGCATTTTGGAAAGCTAAAGTATAACTATTCTTCTTAGAATATAACACAACAAAAAGCATTTCTGCAAGAATGAGGATCCAAATATTATAGGATATCAGACATTCAAATGTGTCTTAAGAATATTACTTTCCTTGAGTACATCAAACCCTACTCTCATTTACAAAACTCACTACAGATTGTTAAAAGTATGTTAATATGGAAAAGATTTAAAATTGCTATTTTTCTATAACACAACATTTCATAAACAAATATATCACTTTGCTTTATTTAACATTCTCAAGGCTATCCTGTTGGTGGTTTATTGTAAGTGCAAAGGGGAACTGTAAATTAGAAATGTCATTTGAAGTAAATAACTGACAATATAAATATATTTGAAGGTGAGGACAGAAACATTTATTTAAAAACCTTGTTATGTAACTCAAGGGGATTAATCGGCATCCTTTTACTAAGAATCTAGTGCTAACTAAAATAAAATTTGTATTTTTACTTCCTTTGATTTAATTCAAAAACCATGCTTTTTCATTTGGTTAGTTACTTCTTTTAATGTATTCAAAAATGTTGAACACATACAGAACTGAGTTAAGAAGCAACAACTGCCCTGTGGGAGAGCTGGAGAAAAGACATTGTTTTAAGAAACTAAGGACAAATTTCAAAATTGCAGAAAAGAATGTACACAGAAAGTATCCCAAATCCATTCTTAACTTCTTACACACCATTCTAACATTTCTTTTTAGAGGGTGTATCTCCTAACCATTTTACATAATTCACAATGAAAATGTGGAAACATGTCAATTTGGCAATCAATCAACACTTCTTCATTGCACCTTACTTACTTTATGCATGCGGCCCACACATTACGTCAGCTCAAGAGGCTGGGGTAATTCTGTCCCTAAGGCAATCAAGGAGCTCAGCACAAACCTTGAAATCATTTTTAAAAAGATTTTCTTGTCCTCATTTCCCCCATCAATTTACAAGTAAACCAATGATTACTTCTTGAGGAGGGTAGGGCTGAAAAGCAGAAGTCTCTTCATGATTCCTGGTGCTGACAATTTCTTGAGGGGAGAAGTGGAGGCAGGTATTGGAACATTCACAGTTTAATGCAAAAGCACAAATGAAATTCTGTAGTTGCTTTCAGGCAGTTTTGCGCATAGAAAAAAAAGAAATGTTTAGAAAATAAAATGTTTATTTTGTCTTTCTGGTTGAGGCCAATCCAGTCCATTTTCCACCTTAACGGTGAAAATTTAAATCCCAAATTAATCTGATTTGTGGCAGTAAAGGTCCTTAAGTGCTTTTAGCTCCTCAATCAGTGTCTTGTTTTGGTTTTCAAGCACTGCCACTCTGTTTTCTAAACATTTCACATATTCTTTTTTCTTCCTACGACACTCTCGTGCTGCTTCCCTATAAGAAAATAAAAATGAACAGGAAAAATTATAGAAATTATTTTAATACTATTTATTTTGGATTAGAACAATTTTCTTTCACAGAAATAGCTCAAAGCAACACATATGATAATATATAACAGGCATTAAAAAATATATACAAAATTATGACTGGGAAAGTATCTCCTAGTACATTTTAATATAGCTGACCGATAAACACATGAAAATATTCTGCATCAAAGTTACAAAATTTGAATTCAACCTACATTAGTAACAGTAACATTAACTTACAGTGGAAAAAAAAAACTTTAAACAGAAATTTCTATATACTTATTTCAGAGCATTCAGCCAAGGGCCAAAACCCTGGGTGAGATGGCTGGGTGCAGCGTCGTTTGGCAGTACTGGGTCTGACCCAGCTCTCTGAGCCTGCAGACCTTGTCGGGGACAGTGACGTGGACTGGAGCTCCTTCATTCTCTCTTACATAATAACAAAAAATGCCACAGACCACTTCACAACCATCAGGATGACTGCTTTCAGAAAACAACACAACAGTAATAACCATGACCTATTACCACTCTGAGAAAATACCAACTGTTGTGGGTGTTTAAAATAAGCTCCTATCAAACAGAATGGGCAGGGGTGGGGGAGTGGGGGCTAAAAAACTCACAGGTGGAAACCAGCAACATGTTTTATCAATGGATAAAAACATATTACACACAGAGCCTAGCATGGTAGCCTACTGGCTTCAATCTTCGCCTTGCATGCCCAGGATCCCATATGGGCACGGGTTCTAATCCTGACAGCCCTGCTTCCATCCAGCTTCTTGCTTGTGGCCTGGGAAAGCAGTCAAGGATGGCCCAAAGCCTTAGGACTCTGCTACCGTGTGGGAGACCTGGCAGAAGCTCCAGACTCCTGGCTCTGGATGGGCTCAGCTCCGGCCGTTGCGGTCACTTGGGGAGTGAATCAATGCATGGAAGATCTTTCCTCTCTGTCTCTCCTCTTTGAATATCTCACTTTCCAATAAAAGTAAGTAAATCTTAAAAAAAATTTTTTTACATAGGAAATACATAATTATTCAGTCTTAAAAAAGAAAAATGTCAGTGTATACACATATCCAGCAGAATTTGAGGAGGTACTGACTCACAGCAAATAAGAAAGTAAATAAAACATATGTACCTGTTCTTCATTAGACGAACCTCTCTCTTTCGTGCTGCTTCTTCAGCAGGCTGTGTAGGAAGTGCTGGGGAGGAAGCCATAACAACTCCAGGTGCAATGGTGCTAGTGGGTGCTGTGCGAATTTGGTATGTCTGTACATCTCCGGAGGCAGCTGAAGAGAAGAACAGTGAGCAAGATCTAAGACATGGAAGCACTGTGACCTGGTTCAATTACATGTGTCAATCATTGGTCAAAACACACTTTTTGGATTAAAAGAAAATTAAGAGAACAGATGATTCTGGCTAAAATGTTGAAAGAAAAAAAAATCAACCCTCTGAGTCATTACTGAAAAGTAATTTCCAACTTAATGTATTTATTAGTCTAGACACTGGGGTGAAAGGCATCTTCTCTATGTCTTGCGGGTCTCACATTTCTCTGCTGGAATGCACTTGTACTCTGTTAACATGCTTACCAACCTTAAATCTCACAGAGAAGTAGGGCACAACTTGCATGATCTTTCTAGATACAATATAGTCCTCAATGTTGGCTTAGGATTTTGATAAATTCACATTAAAAAATTTCAAGCAGACTCTTGCATGACAAACAACCATTTTTTTCAAACAACAAAACAGAAAATACAGTACAATGGTCAACTAGTATAAATTTCTAATTAAAACAAAATTGAAATTATGAAGTAAAGCACTTGAGGTCAATTATAGCATTACGATAATGCTTAAATAAACTCTAGGTTTATTTTTCTAAGTGGTTCAACATTTGTGACAAGAAATATAATTGCTATTTGGCAATGTGTTTCTAGAAACAGTTTAATATGCTCTCCTAAGAACTCTAATATTATTTGAGAGAATCTGAAGGTCTTCATGAAATAATCCATATTAGTTTTAAATATCAATTAAAATGGGTAGTTTGGGTGGGAAAGACTTATATACTAAACATGTTACCATCTTCAAACTGACGTTCAGAATTCAAATTCACTGACATCCTGTGCTTTACAATTTTTGAGTACCTGCATGTAAAGTGAAAAGGGGTTTTATTCCCATTAATAAGCATAGTAGTATCTTTTAAAATATTGTTTAGTGTAAGAATATATTCTGTAAGTACAACAGGACTCTGATGTTTGGAATTTTTCAAGAATTATTCATGGTGAAGGGACATAACTGTCAGTATTTAACATATGCAAAATGGATTATTACTGAAAGTATTTTCAAAACCAATTTATTATTTTTAATATGCAAATTCCTCATCTGGCATCAAATATATTATCAAATATTCAAATGAACTCAAAGAAAACTGATCAACTTCTATCTATGGATTTCTGAAACAAGTAGAAAAAAACAAAAATACTCTAAAAATAAAAAACATGGGGCCCAGCGGCGTGGCCTAGTGGCTAAAGTCCTTGCCTTGAATGCACCGGGATCCCATGTGGGCCCCGGTTCTAATCCCGGCAGCCCCACTTCCCATCCAGCTCCCTGCTTGTGGCCTGGGAAAGCACTTGAGGATGGCCCAAAGCCTTGGGACCTTGCACCCATGTGGGATACCCGGAAGAAGTTCCTGGATCCTGGCTTCGGCTCAGCTCAGCATCGGCCATTGTGCTCACTTGGGGAGTGAATCATCAGATGGAAAATCTTCCTCTCTGTCTCTCCTCCTCTCTGAATATCTGACTTTCCAACAAACAAACAAATAAATGAATCTTTAAAAAAACAAAAATAAAAACTGTGGTACAGCAGGAAATGCAGTGACTGGGACTCCTACATCCCATATCAAAGTGTCGCCACTATGCTTCCAATCTAGCTTCCTATTAATACATCCTAGAGGGGAGAGGCGGCCAGAAGATGGCTGAAGTACAGGACGCCCAGGTGGAGTCTGCATTCATGGAAGACAGATGAAAAAAATGCTTTAGCAGATTCATGCAGCTAGATACGAAATTTCTCTTTCTTAAAGTTGGATTTTATTGTTTTTCCTGCTGTTAATTTTAAAGATGTTGAAAATAGATATCTTATTTTAAAAATTAAACACAGCTGTTTTTATGCCATGACATTTTAGTCCAATTGCAAAAATGGTAGAGTTTATGAAAAATATAGTCTGTACTGAAGAAAATTAAGTATATTTTAATAATGTTTTACAGTATGATACTTACTTTTTCCTGAGTTACACAATTTTAACAGTCCAAAGCCTTCACCACAGTTCTGAATTTCCTTACCTTGAACCACAACTTGGTTGCTGGGCACTAAGATCTGTTGTCCATCTGTGGTCTGTGCATACTGTAGAATGGTAGTACCCGGCTGAGTGGCAGCTGCATTGGTCATAGTTAATGTCTGCAGGCCCTGCACCCCATCGGTACCATTGTTAGCCAGCTGTATTGCTCCTCCTTGGGTAATGGCAACTAAAACCCAACAGATTTTATTGTTACAAGTTTAATTAACACCACACAACTTGTAAAACACACTAAACTCAATGTAGACTATTTTATTTTATAAGACACAATATAGGAGAAATTATTACACTAAATATCACCAAGAGAGATTTTGGATATTCAAGTAACTTTGTGCTCAGAAACCCACATCCACATTTCAAAACACAAATGTACTCTATCAGCTGTTACAATAATTAAAGGTAAAACAATGCTTGTTAAAAAAAAACCAGATCAATGGGAAAAGGTTACATTTCTTTTGAAGTTATTTGTTTCTGTGGAAGTTCCACTACACTTTCCCTTACTCTATCATTAATGACTTAACTAAAAATTTGTAAAAAAAATTCACATTATTGAACTTTAAAACAAATTTTTGAAGAGCCGCTAATGTCTTCAATAAATTGCATAAATTTATTGAGGTTTAAAAAAATGGATTTTGTTACACTATTTTAATGTACTGTAGATACAAAGTAATCATTTTTTAAGATTTATTTTTATTGGAAAGGCAGATTTACAAAGAGGAGAAACAAAGATCCTTCATCTGCTGGTTCATTCCCCAAGTGGCCTCAATGGGAAAAGCTGAGCTGATCTGAAGCCAGGAGCTTCTACTGGGTCTTCCACATAGGTACAGAGTCCCAAGGCTTTGTATCATCTTCTGCTGCTTTTGCAGGGAGGATGGAAAGTGGAGCAGCTGGGACATGAACCAGTGCCCGTATGGGATCCCAGCACATACCAGCTGAGGCTCTGCTACTAAGCCATCCATCCCACTGTGCCCAATGAAAGGTTGTATTAAAGTACAATTAGTCAAGCAGTTCAAGTAATTGTATTCATTCTCTAGTTTAAGAGAAACTCCATTCAATGAAGCAACTAAAATGGCCAAAAGGGGGATGGCACCATTATACAGCAGAGTAAGCTCCTGTCGGTGATGCTGGCAACCCCTATGAGTACAGCTGGAAGCCTTGGCCACACTACTCCCCATTCACCTCCCTGCTAATGTACCCGCAAAGGCAGTGGAAGACAGTCCAAATACATGGGCCCCTGCCGCCAATGTGGCAGACCTTTTAGTCACTGGCTTCAATGTGGCCCTGTCCTGGCCATTACAGCCATTTAGAGAGTAAACCAGATAATGGAACATTTCTGTCTCTCTAACTCTGTCTCAAATCAATCAATCCTTGATTATTGCAGAATATCTCACAATTTCAAAGCTGCCACCCACAGAGCTGGCATTCAACCGGGCACCAGTTTGAGTCCCAAATGCTGTACTTCTGATCCAGCTCCTGAGAAGGCAGCAGAAGATAGTCCAAGTCCTGGAGTCCATGCTCCCACGTGGGAGACCTGGAAGAAGCTCCTGGCTCTGACCTTTCCTAGCTTCGCTGCTGTCACCTTTTAGGTAGCAAACCAGTGAGCAGATGATCTCTTTGCTCTTTGTCTAAGTCTCTGCAACTCCCTCTCTGAAACTCTTTCAAATAAAATAATTAAAAAAAAAAACCCTCAGATTAAAAATCAATATTTAGCGAAAACAAGATATTCACTTTTCTAAGGTATATATTCAAGCATTCACATGTAAGATGCTGATTATTTACCAATTAAATGCCCTTGCCACTCATATGTTACAAAGTAACTCAATCAACTTTTGCTTTTACCAATAACTGTTTTCTTTTACCAAAAATGGAAATAAAATGCATGCAACACAAGGAAGGTAACACCCGTGGTTCCACTGGGGCACAAACTCAGGACCTTCTGCGTGTAAAGCAAATGTGATAATCACTACACTATGGAACCGAACAAATTTTTTGAACCTGTCATTGATACTGTCTCAACCCAGATGTTTTGAAGAATTGAACTTGCATTATTGTTTACTCAATACTATGTCAATAAATTCCATAACGTTGTATACTGATGCTGATGTTTTGTTGGGGATTTTAACTGACTGGAACTTTACTCTGTTAGCTCTACCTTCAGGCCAGAGAAGGTCTCCCCAAGAGGCTACTGAACTTATCTGGACAATAAGATGCTGGACTTTATGCTAGGTATATGCTTGCAATGAAAGAATCTCAACTGAACTTGAACTGAGGTTATGCAGCAAGGTGGAGGAGTCCGCTATGGGGGGAGGGGTGTGGGAGAGGTGGGGAGAATCCCCAGTGCCTATAAAACTGTATCACATAAAATAAATTAAAAAAAAATGTGTGCAACAGCACATCACATGGAAAAAGTCAGGAAATGCACAATTAATAGACAAAGCAATCCTTTTAGATACGAGCAGTGAGATACATGGTTGGGTAGACCTTCTCAAGGTAAATCTTCCTGTTTTCCAGAACAGTGAAGGCACCACCCTCCTGCATCTGCAATACTACAAGTCAAACTGCATACTGGGTTTAACAGCAAAAAAAAAAAAAAAAACACAAGAATTTCAGATGTCTAACATGGGTATACCATTGTATATTAAAACAAATTTGGTTTGGGATCAATTATCAGCAACCTTTGGAAAGCTATTAAACCCTAAGTCATCTGGGCATAAAAAACTAATTATCCGCAGTTTAATTAACACATAAGAAGAGTAATGGCTATGATTCAACTAGATTAGCAAAATGATAATTAATGTTAGAATTAAGATACTGGTATGTAAATCTATCAATTTAAGCTATTTCCTTAAATTTTACTTAGGTGAGGGAGGCGATGCATAAGAATTATTCTAAGATTAATTTTGTAAGATTTCTTGGAAGTTTTAGAATGTTAACACCTTTTAAAAAAGTGTTATTTATTTTTTTTAAAAGATTTATTTTATTTTCATTACGAAGTCAGATACATAGAGAGGAGGAGAGACAGAGAGGAATTATTCTCTGTCCGATGATTCACTCCCAAGTGACTGCAATGGCCACTAGCCAGGAGCTTCTTCCAGGTCTCCCACACGGGTGCAGGGTCCCAAGGCCTTGGGCTGTCCTCAACTGCTTTCCCAGGCCACAAGCATGGAGCTGGATGGGAAGTGGGGCTGCCGGGATTAGAACCGGGGCCCACATGGGATCCCGGTGCGTTCAAGGCAAGGACTTTAGTCACTAGGCCATGCTGCTCGGCCTTGTTATTTATTTTCATTGGGTAGTCAGATATACAGAGAAAAAGAGAAAAAGCAGAGAGCTGGATGGGAAGTGGAGTAGCCGGAATCCGAACTGGTGACCATACGGGATCCCATGTGTGCAAGGAGAGGACTTTAGTCACTAGGCCAGTGTGCTGGGCTTCAGGTCAATACTATTAAGCAACAATTTTCTATACAGTGTTAATAAGCAAATTCCACAGTATTTAACACTGTGGTTTTTTTTTCCCCTTTGGCTACACAATGATGAACAAAAGGTGGGAAGAAGATAACAAGAAAAATTAGACACTGGTCCAAGTTCCAGTTCTAATCTATTACTAATTTGGTGGTTTCTTCCATAAAAACTCCTGGTTCTGGCTACTAAGTACAAAGGCTATAAATACCAAGTACAGTTATGAAAATATTTTAGGAACCCTGTAACATGCCCAATCTCCTCTGAAAATATTTTAGGGCTTTGCATGATGGCTCAATTGGATAATCCTTCCATTGCAAGCACTGGGATCCCGTGTGCGAACAGGTTTGTGTCCCAGTTGCTCACTTCTCATTCAGCTCCATGCTTGTGGTCTGGAAAAGTAGTTGAGGATGGCCCGAAGGGACCCTGCACCTGTGTGGGAGACCCAGAAGCAGCTCCTGATCAGCTCAGCTCCGGCCATCGCAGCCACTTGAGGAACGTACGAGCAGAAAATCTTTTTTCTCTGTCTCGCCTTCTCTCTGTAAATCTGGCTTCCAAACAAAACAAAACAAAACAAAACAAAAACCAAATTCACTGAAGTAAAAATACGAAAAGAAAGCTAACTGATTTGTCTCAGGGTGTAGATATAATTCTATCTGATAATCAAGACCACGTGAAGATTATATGAGATTCTGAGTAGTCAGAATTAACAAAAGAAAATCATGAGCCATAGTTTTATTTAGTGATACCAAACATTCAAGCAGTATCACAAATACCTGTGCGTCTTCCTAAAAATACAACCTCCAACAAGTTTCTTATCAGGAAGAACAGTAATTAAAAGAAAAAAGATCTAATTTATATTAGGAATGCAAACTGGTGCAGCTATTTGGAAGGGCAGCTGAACAGCATATTCCTTGATACAACACCATTCTTTGGCTGTTTCCCACTGAGACATGAATATCTTTATGAGGGCACTTCCCAAAGTTTATGGAAGAAGCAACCGAAAGTTTTAATCTTACTGTGGAAAAAAACACATATTTTCAACGAACTTTTGTTAAGTCCCTCATTTATGTCTATGTATATAAATGATGTAGGCCTCACTTGGGTAAAAAAATCAAATAACATGAAAACATTAAGTAGAATGAAAAAGAATGGAGCAATTATGTATCATTCCTACTACTAGTGAAGATAAGGATTAGTACTTTTTACTAATTATAAAACTTTGACAAACATATTAACTTTTAAAGTTTTTTATATGAGAGGCAGAAAAAGAGATCTTTCATCTGCTGTTTACTCTTCAAATGTCCGTAACTGCTGGAATGGCAGCTGAGCCAGGCTGAAGCCAGGAGGCCAGAACTCCACCCAGGCTTCCCACCCAGGCAACAGGGACCCAAACATTTGCAACAACACTTAATGCCTCCAAGGATGTATGCATTCACAGGAAGCTGAATTGGAAGCAGAGGTGAGAATTCAACCCAGATATTCTCATAAGGGATGCTGGTGTTCCACGTGGCAGCTCTTCATCTACATTAGAGCATACATCATTGTACGTATTTATAAACTAAGAAATATATAACAGTTCCTGTACGTGTATTCATCATGTTACTTCTTAATCAAAAGAACACAGATGAGTTCATTAAAGCTGCAGACGCATATTCTAAGACAAGGGACAAAGATAACAAGAGTTTAAAAATCTCTATTTTTGTCTTAAAA